GAGTGTGGCGTAATGGAGCTACTGTCCCATAATTTATTTGAGGTGCTCAGAAAATCCGGTTTCCTATGCGGGGTCCTCAGCAACGTCGCTAAACTTCTGCCAGTATACACGGTATCACATCCCAGAAGGCATCTAAATTGGTGCACGGCTGTCACCACAGATGAGACCCGCGGCGGTCAAAAACTGCCCGATGTCGCCCGCCTCAAGACATGCTTGCTCATGGAGCATCTACGAAAACTTGTTGAATTCCAGTGACCAGCGCAATGTCATGTAAGTTATGCATGTCGGATGACTTGTGTCTAGTGGAAGACGATTGTAATGCAAGATTTGTAAATTGAAGAATACCTAAAAGAGTTATGACGCACTTCACGTCAGAACTGGTTTGCTTTCATTGAACACGTGCAGTGAGTGGAGTGATTCGAGCCTCCACTTTTTAACCAATCACAGTGTTCGACCTTACATGATCCCCCAATCAGAGAGAAGGGCGTGTAAACGAGTCGCCGTTGTGGTGCCGTTTACGTAAGTGGTTATTTATCAGACAAGCTGTTAACGATTGCTTGCGACTATGACGGTGCAATTGGCGCAGTTGCGGCGCCTGACGGCAGACGGGGCACAAAGTTATGCCATCTTTGCACCAAGTGCGTTCCTACGAGTCCGTGGTAATTTTTTTTTATTTGCTTAGTGGGGGGTGGAGTCCAGCTGGGTCCACTCGGCACGGCGGCCACTGGTTGGCTTATTGTACCTGCCCTGGGTGATTATGATGATGGAGAATTTGGTGGAATGAAGATTGGCAGGGGAAACCGAAGTACTCGGAGAAAACCTGCCCCAGCGCCACTTTGTCCACAAATCCGCGGTGGGAAGCCAGCGACTAACCGCTTGAACTATGGCGCGGCCTCATGAATGCGTGGTTCAGGGAGATAATCTCTTCGCGCGTTCATACGTTTTATCTCCGAAAGTGCTTAATTTCTCTTAAATTTGCTATAGAATCCATAAGAACCGTTGTCTAGCTCGCTGGTCTCATCTGCGCAATATCAGAGCTATACAAGTCGAACTAAGGACTCAGGAAGGAAAGCAGAGAATCTGCAACACTTAATTGATTTTTTCCCCCGATAACAATATTGTTGAGCTTCTCGGTTATGGTACAGTATAGTTTGCTAGGTGTGCTTCAGCTGTTTCGGAAGAAATATTTCTTCCATCTTCACGGTAGATGAGACTTATGCAAGGAGGTATAAATAACGTGGAATCCATTTAAACTTACGTTGCTCGCTTATTACCGGGTTTCATGATTAAACTTTTTTCGCATAAGATATACGGCTGCTTTTCAATTTACGCGGTACTTGTGTACCAGAAGATGGGCCCGTAAATAAGATACGAGAAAATGGAACATTTTCCCACAAGAAACTGCGGTGACGCATTGCAGTCTTATTCAGTAGGAACCCTGTTACGAATCTCGTCTACCATAACAGCTGTCCTGCGATTTGTCGTGTTTTCCTCAGTTACGTCTGGCTCGTTAATACCTTGAGATAGGCTACGATTGTTCCTTAGAAATCCTCGTTTTGCTTAATCTTACGAGGGAGAGTCAGTAAATAGGTTACAAACGGATATAAAACGCAAAACATGTGATATCCGAAACTGAAAAAAAATTCTCGACATATCCTTCACCAACATTGATACACTTGTCCCATCGCTTTACCAATCTCTCGAAACCCGCAGCATAGAAGTCTTTTGACTGTTGACACAACAGTCTACGCCGCTTCTGAACCTCCGTTTCAACCTCTTCACCCTTGAGAGAAAATCTCGACCCACTTGTGAACCACTTTACGCGATAAATACTTCCCACCGTAAACAGGAAACATTTATTTTTTAATATCCTTTGCATTGAGTCCTTTTGTCCGCAAATAAATCGCACAGCAGAACACTGCTCTTCGGTGGTACGCACGCCAAGCACGGCCGCCATTTTGATTATTGAAACCAGCCTCAGGACATGCGCATGCGCGGAGACTGTCATGAAGCGGGACTTTGCTGCTACCTAGTGATAGATATAGAAAACCTATTACGTCCATACAGCTGTTGTACTTCCATTTGTGACTTAATTACTGACTTTCCGTCGTATTTCCATATATTAAGACAGGAATTTGACGCCGTGGAGTTTGGTGGGTGATACATATGTCGGAGGAGCTATGAGAAACGAATCTCGTCTACCCTGAAGATGCAGGCAACGGTTCCTCCGAAATGTTGGCAGATTCCTACCAGACTATACGACGTTCCATTTTATAATATTCATCGCCATTAGAATATCAGTTACCTAGATAATTAAATATATTAATAATCAGTTAATGAGCGCTATAATTATATTAGTTGTAAAACGTCGTTAAAGTAACGGTAATCATAGCATGCAAACCTACACACAGCCTCATGTACGAAAGTTGTTATGAAGTATATCGAGAAATTGAATCGACTTATCTCGAACGATAAGTTGCTCGTGACATCTATGTCTGTTACGCATTTGTTTTTGCGACTTACTATTGGCTGGCTGGCCATATTGAGCCCTCGCATATGTTACGTGCCTCTTAGACCGTAGAAAATTTGTAGTGACGTTACCTAATAAAATTCTCATCTTGTGCGTGTTTATTGCTTTCTATTTCGTTCGGTTACAAATGTCAAGTTACTTGTAGACTGTTCTTGATACGTCATAGCAATTGCAGTCAAGACGTTCCAAGAGTTCAGGAGGAACAGAGAAATTGATGAGTGGGGTCGAATCAATTGATTTCTTTGTTATGAGAGGGGCAAAGAAGCCAAAGAAATCTTTTTCTTGTTCTTCTTAAGGAAAGCTACAGAGAGAGAGAACGGTGCATACATACGCAGGAGAGGCGGTCTTGTGTAGGATTTGAGGTTCTCGCAGCAATGGGATATGACGCCATGCAGTCCAGTAAAAGTCAGCCTACGTTTCAGAGGAACATGATCGCCTACACCTTCAGATTCGAAGTCTCTCTGCTTCCTTTATGCTGATCTCTTGCTTAACCTACTCTTTGGCCCTGAAGATGGAGGCAATATATTCGTCTGAAACTCGCATAATTTTTACCGGACTACACGTTATATCCCAGATGATTTAAATCTTTAAATGTATCTTATGTTTCTGTACATTTAAGGCACAATAAACTCAGATGTTATACACGGCTTTCGTAACATAGGTAAAGGTAAAAAGAAAATGTAAAGCTATCCCTGTAACAGGCCGTGAAGGCCCATAGGGTTGTGAGACGTCGAGGCTCCCACATTTTCTCTAGACAGTCGGCTCACAGATGGCGGTGAGGTCAGCCTTACGCGCCGGCCACCTTTAGGAATATTCCTGGTATTCATTTCTGTTAGAGGCTGAGTCTGACCCTAGGCAATAGTGCGACTGGGAGGATTAGGTAAATTGAGAAAAATCCACCTCATCGGGACTCGAACCAACGACCTTCCAGCTTGTAGTATAGCACCTCAAGCAAATACGCTACCGCGTGCCCCCTTCATGACATACGTATGCGCCCTTAATTCTCTGAAGCCTGAAATGCATTTAAATATTCAGTTCGTATCACATTTATAGTTTATGTAGCGATGTTACCAGTAAATCATACCACATGCCGTGGAATGTGGAAGGAAGTGGTCGTGGTCTAATTTAAGGCGCTGTCCTGGGATGTCTGAAGAACTTCCGAGGTAATCAGTGTCCCAAGATACTAATCGAGCACCCCCCCCCCCAAATACAAAACTGTGGTGTTTCCACTTGATCTGGCTTAGGATATGGCTCTTGTGAACACGGTAATGAATCTTCGGGTTCCATAAATGCTGGGAAGTTCTTGAGTAGCTGCAGATTTGGCGGCTCCTCAAGAAGGGCTCAGCTCCATGAAGTTAGTTTTAATTAGTTTTTCCACTTGAGGTAAATCGCGTTGTTAATTCCTACCTAAAATTCGTTAAAATATTAATTTCCATCTGTCCTTAGGTCTCTCAAATGTTCTCGTCCTTTAATGTGTTCTGGATATATTTTTGGATACATTTTTATTTTCCCTTTATATACCCTCCCAATTAGTCCCATATTTAAACACGCCGATGATGCTGAGGGAGGAATGTGAATTATGAAGTGCTTCACAGTGTAAGTATCTCGATTCTCTCGCCATTTCTTCTCTGTTATGCTCAAATAGATACTTTTCCGCAGACGCTTGAGTAGTTGAACTTTGCCGTATGCTCGAAGCATTTATTATTTACTGTCTCCAAAACATAATTTAGAGTGCGTCATTGTCAGATAGTGGCGTAGGCCGTTATGGCATTAAAAATGACGTAGATTCTGTATTCAACATACTGGCACGTGTAGGGTGTGACTGTAGACGGGGTATGGATTGGAGATTGGATTTATTGAACACTTGCACGCACCGACTTGGAACTGCAAGTAATTACAGCGCTACTTCTAATCTCCACACTTTACAAATCACTGCTGCGAACACTGAGTCTTCTCCAGACTGCAGTGTCTTCAACAGCCGTTCCTTGGCAATGGCATCTAACAGTGGAGATTCTTCAGCTTCCCGCGCTCAGGTCCTTCCTGTTTGACGAATATCCCGCAACTGAACTCTCTCAATTTCCTTAACCGGCCTGGGGTCGTCATTATATAGCCCTGGGGCGGACCCAACAGAAAACACCGCCCCCAACAGTTCTTCTATTGTTATGGGTGGTTGCCTAGCGATAGCCCTGTTATTGTTGACGCGTTCACCTGCCGTTACCGAGCAGTGCATGTTCCTGCTCGCGATCGTTGCATGGCAATGGTACTACAGGCAAGAATACAATGGTGAACCAGAGTCGCCTTAAGAGAGATCTCGTTGCACACGCACAGGGACTTTTCTCTCGTAAGGTTGACTGCTCGGGGCATGACGCACCGACAGAGGCGCTTCAGGCAGTCACATTCTTGTGACACTTCGCGCTGTGACCTGATTCTCTACCTTAAGACTAGTGCATTAAGACAGAACTACCCTTACCTGCTGCAGATCGGGTTGTACTGTGCTGTTGGGTTCAGCCATTGATACCAGAGCTGGCGATGTATAGGCAGAAGCGAACCCAACAACCATGGATCCTAAAGATACGGATAAAGCTGCCATAACCTGCAACAGACACACAAAAGTATCAGAAGTGTCGCATTAGAAGGGATTTATCGACTTGTCTTATAGTGACAGTTTATTCGGATGACGAGACAGGAACATACACGGTTCAAACTCGAGAATCCGAACTAATTAATGCACGGGTGTGTGCTCGGATTACTGGATTTGAATTTAAAAATTATAGTTTTTTTAGTAAAATTATCTATTCAAAAGATTTACAGGTACATTTTAGTGCATGAGCGGCTACCGGAACCCACGGACGTTCGGCTACACGCCGAGCTCGGGCCAAGCGCTAACCGGGTTACATTTCCCACCGCCCAGAGAGGCGGGTCCATTAACATGTTACTTCATGTTTCACAGGAATTAATTTTTACTGCGAGAAAGTGAAATGATTTGATTAAATCTGTAGTTTTATTAGGTGCCTATTTATTTTGGTGGTACTGTGAGTCAGTTCGTATTGACGTGGGTTCGCATTATCAAAATTCCACTTTACTTCTTTTGAACATTAGTTTTCTAGTTGTTTCGATCCGATTTATGCTGCCATATAGGCTACGGTACGTGACTATATAAATAAACACAGGGTCTGAATCGTTTGATCTGAAATGACATCTGTCCATGATCTTTGAGGTCATGAATTTGCGTCAGTTGTCTGGCAGATGCGCTAAGGCTGGACGACATACAGTTCTCTCGACATAAAATCGGTTAACTTGAATTAAAATTATAACAAAATACTTCCTTTCAATAAAATATGTAATGTAAATATCGCACTGGTGACCACGTTTTGATGATTTTATGTGTTTTACTTGCTCTGAGGAAGTCCTGATTTACTGGAACCCCCAAGGTTCAAAACCGCTAACACCAACTCGAGTCATGTGACAGTATCCTGATGGAGTCCATCCCTTCCCGTCGTTACAACCCATCTTTCTAACATCTAGGGCGATCCAAGCCAGCGTTCTAGTGTCTGAGTGTCTTGACACGGAAGCAAAGATCTTATAGCGTTATTATGATTTGACGCTTCTGTGGCGAATGTTCACAGTGAAGTCTTCATGGGAGATCATGAACATCAGTATGAATGGCCGGACGCTAACTCTGCACTGACGCGGCTGATCGTAGTTATCCCTGTAACAGGCCGTGGAGGCCCATAGAGTTGTGAGACGTCGAGGCTGCCACATTTTCTAAACAGTCGGCTCACAGATGGCGGTGAGATTGTCAGCCTTACGCGCCGGCCGCCCTTTATCCCCAAGAAGATTCCTGGCACTTATTTCTGTTAGAGGCTGAGTCTATCCTCAGGGCCATAGTGCGGCTGGAAGGATTAGGTCAGTTGAAATATCCAATGACCCTATCGGGAATCGAACCCGCGTGCCCTCAGTGTCCTTATACCTTGTGTAATTTCGGACCTCTGATGTGAAAGCGCTGGCCTCTGTGAGCTGCTGAGTCTGTTTCTTGTGCTGTTTGTTCTTCGGTTATGTATATAAAAGTTCAAATCTCGCGAGAGGTAACAAGAGCAGTTTCACGTCTTGATCTGTACTGATTTATGTTGACCTGGAACCGCGTGCCGGAACGCGCTGGCATTTTCAGTGTTAGGACACGACATCCCTGCTCTTATTAATCGTCCCGTCGTCCTTGTCACGTTCAGAGCATTCCAAATGCTCGAAACGTGTACAGTGTACCCACGTTCTGGAAGCATTTTGGAAGGACATGTGCTTTCAACGCTGAGAAGCGTCCGCATGACTGAATTTTGACGGAATTATTATTTTCGAGCCTTCACACCTCAGCCGGCCCACCTTCAGATCCTACCATTTGGGACGCGAACCACAGGTTGTTAAACATTGGGTCTGGTGCAGTTGAATCATGATTTGACACTTCAGATCAATGACATTTGTCAGATGTTATTTCGGACACGAACATAATGGAAGAGGAGAATGTTTGTAACTTTTCCGACACGCATGTGTGCCGCTCAGTCTACCAGCGTAGGCGTTCTCCTGATGTTAGTAACCGTACCCTCCCTGAAGCTGTGGTAGTTTCCTGTACAAGACCTGGCTCCTGATTCAACGTTTGTGAACTGCACATTTCGTCCCTTTTTGTGTGTTTATGGGTTCGGCTTCGTTCTTAGCTGTAAGAGCTATAATTTTTGTAAAAACATCGACCGTTTCCACGCTATGAACGAAATATTTCGTTTTAGAATCAGCTGCTCTCAAGGTATATCTTTAATCTGTGTAAGAGAGATGACCTGCCGTATCTTGACACTCTAAGCTAACCGTGTTTAACTTCGTGGAATATTAATCTATAAATTATCGCGAAAATATAAGAAAGTAATGTCTTCCTAATGAAAACTCGGCAGAAGAGGGTTAAAATACAGTTTGGTTGCTTTAAAGTAGGGTAGAACTGGAAGGCACATATTATCCACTGACAGGTCCAACAACTACTTTAAATGAAGCCCAGGTTAAATTTATGAGTTTCTCGAACACTGCATACCGCGCCAAACATAACAGGCTAAATCATATATTTTATCAGGATCTGTAAACTTGTCTGAAAATTTTCTCTGTGTGCATATTTAATTGTCCGTGTAAGTACGAAATGTTAAAATACATCGTTAATTTGTTTCCAAAATTTCACTTTAGAAGTTGACGTATTTTACAGGATGTGGCGCAAAATCTGAAACTTTGTGTCATTATCATCGTTTTATATAAAATTAAGTAATATATCCCATATTTGGTTGGATTGTGTCACGTTTCTGAAATAACGTCAAAGGCCTGCGAATAAATTTGCGGTCCTGTGTTTGAAGAAACATAAAACTCAAATTTGATGTTCTTAGATGAATTTACACCGGGACATGAGGTAGCTGTAAGATTAATTTTCATGCAGTATTTCATATAGTTTTCTAGTTTCACATTTAAGCAACGGTTGACATATATTAAACCTAAAACATGCCAAGCGTCGGAAATTCCGACCCTTACTAAAAATTACTGTATCTAACAACATGTGACATTTGTTGTTATGCTGTCTTAACTACACAACCAAGAAACATTTGGAGATGATTTTCCCTACATTTGAAGTTGACAGTTTGTCACTATAGCAACTAAAACTGCTCTCGTTGCGTTATGACGTTACATACCTGAGTCCATGTACATTTTGCTTTTGGCTCCGTCCCCGGTACAGTGATGTTTATGTGAGTATCGGCTCTCATCAAAATCTTCACCATTTTGTATAAAATATTATTTTGCGCACTAAAGTTTTTGTTCCTCTACAAGCGAACTTTCAAGCAGACCGCATACAGGATGTTTATATCTGCGCTAGTCTTCCTGTCTCAGTGCACTTCACAGATACTCTCTTAAGCCGTATTATCTTTTCGTAAATTAAATAAAATAATTACACAGTTAGCGGGTAACTTCTACTTCCGCACAGTTCTCAAATTTCTGCGTTATGTTCCAACTGGAGCACCGCCTGCCGAACAAGTATGGGCAATTAGTATCACGAGAAGATACGTAACCTTTCGCTCTCGCTCTCTGCACTGTTCAGCCGCGAGTTTTATATTGCTTATATATCGTGTGGAGTCATCTTCGTGTCACGTATTAGGGCTTAGGTTAATATAAGTGTATCTTCTCCTCCATCAATCCCCTCCCCAATACTCCCCTTTATTGAAGACCGAAAAGGTCGTGCGAGTAAGAAGTTCTGACGATGTACGCAGTGCTTTATGTCTGACACTTCACGCCCCTTCATCTGCACGCTTAAACCGTCTGCCTTTCTTTTTTCCACATCGCAAGAGCCACGTTTTCCTCATATATTCTCACTACACTTTTGGCATGAACAGCTCAGTCGGTATAGGGACTACGCTGCTGGTTCGACGGCCTGAGAGTTCGATTCCCAGCAGGGGACGAGATTCCGGGGCGCACCCTAGGGATCTTACCCCAGTGTAAAGCGGTCAGAGCGTGAAGCTGACCACTCGTCGTCATGGCTTGGTGCTTAGTTAATTAAGCACAGTGACAACTTCAGGTGTACCTTACTGTACCCCCCTTCACCCGATCAGTCCGTACGTACACACGTGGCACCGCCTTCTAGCGGTATTTCCCCCCACAGTTTGTTAGATAGGTAACTTTAGTCAATTGTGCCTTTCCGAATTGCTTTCTTATACAATTAACGGTCGTAAATATGAGGTTAGGATAAAGGTAAAGTTGTCCCTCTGCTCAACTAATTAAGCGCTACACCATTAAGGTGTATGGGGGAGTGGATATATAGATCCACGTGTTCTTGGCCTCGGCACTAGTTGGAGGTGAGTGGTCAGCTTCACGCCTCAGCCGCTTTACCTCCTGGTAAAGAGCCTCCGGTACCCATTGGGTAGGAGGTTGGGTGAGCCCCGGAGACGGTCTGGACGCTGTGGAGAATATTCTTGATCTTACCGGGACTCGAACTTCGACCCCTTGGTCGTCCAGCTCATAGCCAGTCAGTACACCGACTGAGCTACCCCTGCTAATAAAATACGAGATATGATGTTTAACGGCGGTGACTATGAAAGATACTGTAATCTGAGACGTGGTACAGTAAAATATTATAGAAAATTACCGATGTTTCGGAGAAACATGCTGGCTACATCTTCAGGCTAGAAGAGTAAACCACTTTGAGTACTTAGGAATCACGATACATTGCGCTTGACCTCTAGATCAACACCTGCTGTCTCGACGTCGAGTCCTGACTGATCTTCTGAACAAAGTGTGGAGAAATGTCGCATAGTAAACGACGTCCAAAATCGAGGGATCAAACACGACTGATGGTGGGAGGAAGCAGGGCTGCGAGCGGGCCAATGAGAGGCGTCTGTACAGTAAACTAACTCCATGGAGCTGAATCCTCCTGACAAGCCGCCAGTCACTCATCCACTCGAAGAATTTCCCAACATCTTATGGAGCTCAAAGGTTCATTACCGTGTCCACAAAAGCCAGATCAATCCAGTCCAGTAACTCTAATGTACACTTTAATATTATCCTGCCAGCTACGTGTAGGTCTTCATG